AAATGAAAAGGATATAACTAAACTTATCTTCATGAATTTTTGGGAAAATGTGACTTCCTTATGTTGTCTTTGCTCCTGAAAAAAGAACGCAGTGGTTTATCTCTTTCGAGAACTTAAATCTGGGTGGTGGTGTTGTAGAATTTAATGCAATACCAAAGAGATTGTAGAAGAAAAGGACTGGAGAGGAAAATGATGAGGCAAGGGAAAAGTCCAAGTACGTGTTACTACTTTAGGTACACCTGTTCTTATAAAATGCTGGTGAAATTTGTTAGTTCAGCCATCCTTCCTTTTCCACCCTTCCCACATCATGTAAACAAAACTTGAGAAATTAAACAACAATTTAGAAAGGGGTGGAACACTTATGAGGGCACATCCCTACATTCAGGAGGCTGGGAATCCTTCCTATAAAGATAACTTTGGGAAAACCAATTTACTGTTGGATCTGTGAATCAGAAGAATTCCATCTTCTCTGTGAAGGCCAACACACTTTGCATCTGTCTACTGGTGGGGATGGCTTCATTCGAAGGTTTTCCCTTTGACTTCACTATTCTTGCCATTTTCTTACTGAAAATTTAAATTTGGATCTGTGGGGTAGAGTGAGGGGATGCTGTGCAAGTCCACACCACCCAGACTAGGGGAGACTGAGAGCCAAGGTGCCACGCTCAGTTCTGCTTCCTGCACTGAGGACCACGTTAAAGGACATGGCCATCCTTCCGGATAGCCTCTATTTTGCCACTCCTTCTCCCTGTCCCTTAAAAAAATAATGTTTAGCTCTCTTTTCTGATTTTAAAATTATACATATTGATGATAAAAATTAAAAATTAGAGCATAGAAAGCAAAAGATAAAAATTATTCAACCATTCTTCTAACACTCAGAAGTGACAAAGGTAACTTTTAGTGTATTTCCCTTCAATCTTTTTTTCTCTGGGATACCCACACACAAATAAACACACACATACACACCTATGATACTGTATCCTTATTTTGAAATATAGATTCATAGTGTCTTGACTTTTTCACATAAAATTATATCGTGAATATTTCCCTTTTCATTAAAAATTCTTAAAAATAATATTTTCTGAGGTTGCAACTTATGGTGGGAGCATTATTTTGAAAAAATTGTATCTTGAGAGATTTCTAATTTAGGTTATAAAAAATAATTTTAGTCCATAAAAATTAATCTATAGCAGTGATCATTTCCATAGGATAAATTTTTGAAGTAGAATTTTGGGTTAAAAAGGACAGCTGTTTTTAAGATTATTGAAATATACCATCAAACTGCTATGCAGAAAGGGTATATCAGTTTAGTCTTGCCAAAAATGTATTTGAATTCCAACTTTTCCCTCACCTTTGACAGCATACAGCATGATTCTGCTTAAAAATATTTTGCTAATTCACTGGTCATTTTGCAATGAGAAGCTGATCGTATTTGTTGGGAAATACTATTTGTAATGGACTCTAGAATAATTACATAAACGGCAAGAGAAAGTCATGGGATTTCAACTTAATTAGAAGAGTTAGCTGAAACAGTTGGCATTTTCTGATCATTTTTGGTGGCTACTAGGTCCGAAAAACAGACTGTTAATCTCTTTACAATAACATTTCTAGTATATTTGATTACTGCCTTAGTTTACTTTGATTGTTTTCAAATGAAGCATCCCTATTTATTTTTTTTTTTCAACGTTTATTTATTTTTGGGACAGAGAGAGACAGAGCATGAACGGGGGAGGGGCAGAGAGAGAGGGAGACACAGAATCGGAAACAGGCTCCAGGCTCCGAGCCATCAGCCCAGAGCCTGACGCGGGGCTCGAACTCACGGACCGCGAGATCGTGACCTGGCTGAAGTCGGACGCTTAACCGACTGCGCCACCCAGGCGCCCCGAAGCATCCCTATTTAAAGGATTTTTAAGTAGTATGTTTTTTCCTCTTATAAAAAAACATTAATCCAGGTACTAAAAAAAAATGTTACTCTTCTTAAGATAAATAGCCTTTCCCTACACCTTCAACTCTCCTATATGAAGTTAGGACAGACTTCTCTCACCTTCTCTTAGAAACTGCCTAACTTATGTACTTTAATTTCCTGGGACTAAGCTGAAGAGTGGTAATAAAGTTAATTAAACAGCAGGTAAATGAATATTTAAGAACCAGCATTTATGGAAGCAATTTTAGGCAAGTCTGTGTCTTAACACAGGTAATCTTTGTTCTTTACTTATCCAAAAAAAAAAAAAATTAATGAAAACCTACTATGTGCCAGGCATTTTGCTGATATACTGTTGATAAAAAGTGAAAAGATACAGTTCCTGCTCTACGAAGGATCACAAGTTAGTAGGAGTAAAAGTCTTATATAATTACAGTGAAATTTTAAGTGCCTATAAAAGATGCAGGTGTAAGTCTCAGTGGGGGCTGGGGAGAGGAGGTAGAGAGCTGTCTGGGTTGGTAAACAGGTAACATGTAAGCTGCGTGTTGGAGAACGAGCAGGATTGTCAGCTGTAAGGGCGAGAGGATGGCAATAGGCAGGAGGAGCAGCACATGAACAGGAACCAGGGCAAAGCATCACACTGTTAAGCACGCTAGGGATTCTTTGAAAGAATTTAAGCAGGGAAATGACCTGGTCATACTTTTGCTCCGGAAACACGTGCAAAGTGGTCAGTGGATGTTATTTTTGCAGGGCTGGGGTACACAGAGCCACGTAGCAAGACAAGATGGAGGGAGACCACTTACAGGGCAAGAAATTTCAATGGCTTAAAGCTGTGGCTCCCAAACTTCAGAGTGCATCAGAATCACCTGGATGACCTATCATGAAACACAGATTATCAGGCTCCATCCCCAGACTTTCTGATTCCGTAGGTATGGAATGGAGCCTAAGAATGTACATTTCTAACAAGTTCTCCTTCGGTTTAATGTGACTTCTAGGTTTTTGATTTAAGCAACTGGGCAGATCCTGGTGCCATAAAACAAATGATGAAAAGAATGGAGCAGGTGCTTCCTTAGCCAGCAATCTCTCTTCTCTTTTGATGCTGTTCCTCTAATTCTCCGAGGTTTACATGCTACCTGCTGGCTGTCTCCCCACACAAGCATCCCTGTGAGAAGTATCTCTGTCAGCTTATGATAGACCCCAATGGACTAAAGTGTCACTGATTATGGAAATGGGAGTTTGATGTTCCTCTAGGGTGAGACATTTCTATTTAATTGTCCTCCTGAAACCACACCTCAGCTCGATGCACTGACTACAGTAGGGATTTCAAGTACCACCGCTGGCAATCGGCAGGGTTCGTTCCTGGATGGTGGGGGCCTTTTGGCATCCCTCCGTGAACAAAGTCTTGCCCTGACAATGCATACAGGCAGGTGTGTATAAATGACAGATATCAGTTACAATTTCTATTCTTTGGACTCTGCCCCAGCTGGGGTGGATCCCAAATAGGTATAAATTATCTTTGCCAAGGAAAAACAACAGTGACTTTTATAAAGATATCTCTGCTTAATTATAGTCTAATAACCTTCTGCTTTGAATAACTTGCTCTCATTATATGATCAGGCAGTGAACATGAAATCTTCTCCGAATCAAATTATGTAAATGTGTCTATATACATACACAGGCACTCTCATACTCCTTGGGAAAAGTTACTTCATCCCATTTTATATCAGATCTTCACTTGTACAATTAGGATTATCAATTACCTTATTGGGTGTTGGGTGGATTAAATGAAATGTTTGTAAAGCATCTACTCCACTCTACTGATAATAAATATTCTCTTTTCTCCTTTTGTTTTCTCCTCGATGATTTGTTACCTCGCCACTCTGGTGGGAAGTGACCGAACTCCGAACATCTTTGAAAGGCACCACTGTTTGGAATGAGTGAACTCATAGACAGAGATGACATTGTATTGATTAGGGGATTACCCAGTGAGCTGATTACAGACTGCCACAGGTCATTCTGCAAATACCATCAGCAGATGCTCAAGACTATTTTAATGTTAAGGGTTGCTTCTTTGAAATTAGATTTTCTTAGACTTCCCGCTGTACTACGTCCCTCATTTCTACTCTGATCATAGAAGTTACTGCATATTTGATTTTAATGTGGTCATTTGCCTATGACTTGAGGAAATTCAACCCTTTTTCCTACAGCGGGGAAAAAACAGGATTAAGGAAAACCAAGAGTTTGGAGCATGCCATATTCTGGACTTCACTTTCCCAGTTGTCAGTTCTGTAGGTTCTCACTAGTATCACAGCTTGTTTCAATACCGGCTATGATCACACTCGGGAGTTTTATCCTGGCTCCCATGAAGATCTAATCAGAGGTAGGAATATATATAGGTATATTTCTACCTATACCCATATATACACTCATCCCCAAATCTATAGTCATTATCCACACCACCTCAGACATTTTTATAAAAGTCCTAGAAGGACAGATATAGAACATGCCTTAATTATTTCTTATCATGAATGCTAATAAAACTATTTGTTTTCCAAACTTGGAAAGGCAGAATCAGATGGATTCTGCCTTCCAACCTTGTTTTCCAGAATCTGATGGATTAGATTGCCCATACTTCGTAGAGTTCCCCACATAACAAAATTATACTGGATGGGAAATTTTTGTCAGGAAATTTGATTATTTCTAAATTCATTTTATTGGTGTCCCCTGCTGGGCTCCCACAAGCTCCCCTGATTCAGTTAAAGGGTATATGACAATAGCTGGTGACTATGAAAATATATGTCCAGAGGGAATCTCAGATAAATATTGTGTAGGGGGAAAAAATCTAAGTTGAAATCATTTGTAAGACAATAAGTACTACTTCACTTTAAGGATGAAAAATTTGACATGGCACTACGATTAGGCTCGGTTTCTGTGCTTCCTGGAAAATCCCTAAAGAAACCGTTGCTTTTAAAAGTTGATGCTTTCATAGCTTAGTTTATTTTATCAAGTGTGTCCATCTGTGGTAAGGGTAGTAGGTTTTACCTGGGGGCGAGGGTTCAGTTCAGCATGCTTTTATACTCACCTATGAATCTTATGATCCTTCGGAGTAAGGGGTTCAGGTAACAGCATTCTCCGGTCAGGATTGTTTTCTCCTGGGCAATTAGAGACTCTCTGGTTGACTTTATGAAATACATGGATATCTCACCAATAAAAATCTGGAGAAAGAATGTTTAAGAAATGTCAAGTTGGAAAGCTGTCTGACAAAAGAGACCAGTTGCCTTAAAAAACAAAAACTTCTGAAGCTCCAAATGCTTTTAAAAGATGTCATGTTGCAGAGATGGAGAGTTAAATCATAATTTGTACTTAATTCTTCAAAAGAATTAGAGGTGGCAATAACTGATAATTTCAGCTAGGTTTCAGGCTATATTATTAAATTCTAAGGTCATAAAAACATAAATGGAAATAGTGAATTGCAGTGGGAACTATGATAAGGCTCACTCACACTGGGACTGAATTTTTTTCATGTTTATTTATTTATTTTGAGAGACAGAAAGAGAGACAGAGAGGAGGCAAGCATGAGTGGGGGAGGGGCAGAGGGTGAGGGAGAGAGAGAGAATCCCAGGCAGGATCCTCACTGTTATCTCTCAAACTACGAGGCCATGACCTGAGCTGAAATCAAGCGCCCGACGCTCAATCGACTGAACCACCCAGGTGTCCCTGGGATTGATTTTTTTAACTGAATGTGTGAGTTGCAATGATGAGAAATGACTGGGACAGCCCCATGTGCCTAACAAGGCATTATAAGCACACATAACAATAAATTATTACCTTGTTACATGGCAACACATTATTCACCTGATAAATCTTTACTTGAATATATTGGCTTAAGCTTTATTTCTCTTACTGGTTGACTGTCTCTTTATAACTGGTACCTTGGTACCTCTCTCTCGTTATCTTGAACTAATACATATATATTACTATATACATTATAATGTCTTTGTGTAGGCTGTAAACTCTCTGAGGACAGGGACCACAACCTATGTTTCTTGATTACTCTTGTAGTACTCAGCATAGTATATTCTTATTTAAAATAAGGAACTGATGGGGGAGGGTGGCTGGGTGTCTCAGTTGGTTAAGTGAGTCTTGATTTTGGCTCAGTTCATGATCTCATGGTTGTGAAATTGAGTTCCCCATCAGGCTCTGTGCTGAGTGTAGAGGCTGCTTGGGACTCTCTCTCTCCCTCGCCCTCTCCCCCTCCCCCACTCAGGCTTGCTCTCTCTCTGTCTCTCAAAAAAAAAAAAAAATAAGGAACTAGCATGAGGTAAGTGTTCACCAACTCTGCCACAAGTGAAGACTGAGAACCACCAACAAAGAATAAAAAGTTGCTAATTACCATCATCTATTGAAAACTATGGGTCAGGCACTTCATCATAGTATTTTTCATGCTTGTAAGATTCCTAGTATAAGTATTATTACCCTTGCTTTGCTAGGGAAGATAGAACATTCAGGACCTCCCATAGCATACAATTGGCATGTGGGGGCACTGGGATTGGTATCCAGGACAACTAAATTCTAAAGTCCACACTTTCCACCACATCACATGCCATTTTTATTTTCCTAATCCCAATTTCAACATTTTCCCAGAAGAATGTGATCCTATAGATGTTCTTCTTTGCTATGTACATGCTTATGGTGTTAGATAAACTTTATCAATACGTTAAGAATTCCCATTCCTTATATTCCTTCCATCATTATGGAATAGATGGATAAAGGTGGCAACATCATGAATGGCACAGGGTGTGGAAATGAAACTATAAAATTATAAAATTGGAACCATTTACAGATATTTTCCCTTTGATGATCTAGGACACCAAAGGTCTCAGTGCTTGGCCACACATAGTGTTGGAGGCAGCACTAGAATGTGGCCTTTACACATAATTCCATGCACAAGTGTTATCTTGATTGTACAAATGTAACACCTGAGGCACAGAGGGATTCAATAATTTGTCTAAGGTCAGAGCTAGTAAGTCACAAACCCTGGCTCTGAAGCCAAGAAGACCTGGCTCCATGGTCTTCATCTCAACTGCTTACACTTTTACTAAGTAGTGACTCAATAAAAATATTTGTTGCATCTGTGTTTAATATTGAGAACATAGAAAACAAAACAAGTTAAGCGTAATATGTTTTAAATACTGAAAAACTCAGATGCTATTAAAGTACAAGACAGAATGGTGTTGTGGAAATAGCACTAGAGGCAAGTCAGAAGGAGGTGGGAAGTTGGCAGGAGTAGACAGTATTTGGGGTCAGACAGGCACACAATGGCATGTATCACTTTGGCAGGTGGCGTCGAAGTATGGTTGTTCTGAGTTAAAAATATTTTGTGCCTAATGTCCCTTGGAATTAACAATGAGATGATGCTCTGTCATGTACAAATATCTGAATAGCTTTAAGAACTCAGCCCTCCTTCATTTCCAGTAAGACCTATCTCTGCTAAAATAAGGTGCCAAAGGGTTTTGTTTGTCCTTACTGTACGTGATGGAAGTGTATTGTTGGTTTTTTATCTTAGTGAACAGATGGGGATGGATTCATGCATGCTTGGATACATGAAACAGTATTTCCTTGAGGGAGTTTTCTCTGATTCCACAGACTAGCTCAGGCATTCTTGTTATACGTGAATTTCTTACCTTGGGTTTCTCTTTTCTATTTCTTATCAGAAATGGTTACATATTATTATTGTTGTTCTTTGTTATGGGATGTCCTGGTATTCTTGGTTACTATCCCCTCCCTACAGCATCCCCCGGCTTAGCCCAGTGTAAGGTATAGTTATTCAATGTTGAATGAAGCACACCAGATTAAGGAAGGTCTTTTGGAACACAGGTGTAATGAGGTAGACTATAAAGAACAAAAAATAATTTCTATTATTTATCCTTCTGGACCCAGTGAAAATGTCACTACCCTCCCCAAAGCCTTTACCAGATCCCCTCGGGAAAAGAGAGACCCTGTCTTGTCATTGCTCCCACAACATGTTATACAGATCTCTCTCTTGACATCTACCCACTTAACTGCAATTATTGTTTGTGTGTCCTACTTCATTTGACTACAATATTCTTATGGGAAGGACTTGTGCCATTCCTTGTATGGTGCTTAGAACAAGGTCTGGTAGGCTCAATTAATACTTGTTGAATAAACAAAAGATTGAATCTTTAGAGGACCTACTTCTAGGTAGAATCTGACCTTATAGACTCTGACCTCTGACCTTTATTTCTCTGAAGATGAACACTGCAGGGAATTGACAATATGGACCGGAAAACAGTACACAATTCTTGGTGTATTGCTTAAGAATAAATGAAAACTGTGGACCAAGTAATACAAAGTGAATTATCTCTTCTAAACTAAATTCATCATATCCTCATTTTGCATTCAACAGTTTTGGAGAGGGAGAACCCACTCTGCCAGGAATTGTTTTAGCACTGGAGGCATAGCCGTGAACAGATGTCGTGTGTGTGTGTGTGTGTGTGTGTGTGTGTGTGTGTGTGTGTGTGTAGGGAGGGCAAAAAAACTGAATAAATACATCATGTAATGTCATTAAATGACATATGATTACAAAGTAAATGAGGGAAATGGGATGGGGGTGATAAACACATAAGGACAAATATGAAAAGAAATAAGCATTGCTTGCCTTAACCATTTCAGAAGCCCAAAGCATTCTTACTCTACAGGAAAGAGATGTGCACATTCTAGAAATTTTCCATTTAGTGAGACTTTCCACTACTCACACAAGAGGGAAAAGGAGGCAAAAAATGTGTGTAAACATCTACACACAACCTATTCTTATTAAAAATACACACGTGCATACCCATATACCCACACAAAAATCTCAACAAAATCACTACAAGTCATGTCAGACCAAACAGAACTTGTCATGTAAAAGGGTATGGGGCCTAATCCACAAGTAAATCCTAAGACTCTCATGTCAAAGGTAGTAATTAGTACAAGGTTTGTTATTATTGGCTGGCAATATTCAAATTCCCGTTGAGGTATGAAGCATAAAAGAAAAAGAAGTCAGAGCAAGGATATCTACCAACTTATATACCCACTTCAGACAATGCTTGGAATATATTAAGTGATGATAAATATTCACATAAGGAAGAGAGGAAGAAAGGGAGGAAGGGGGTCATTTTATAACTGAAATAGGAAGATATTTCTGGTTGTCAGTAAAGACTGTGATGGACATAAAGGTTGCTGAAGAAACAATCCAGTTCTCAGACTCCACTGAGTGGGCTGAAGGAAGTGCATTTTTCTGCATTTTACTGACCACACACAGGGTGCTATTTGTCCATTTATTGGGTCCCATAATCTCATATAGGGCCTGATTATGCTTGAAGGGGGGGGGGGGAGAGAGAGAGAGAGAGAGAGAGAGAGAGAGAG